TTCATCAGAAGGAAGTGACATGCTGAATTTTGAAATCTTTCATAGAAGATGAGTTTGACTTAATACTGTAGGCATATCATTAGATCCTAATGGAAACTATCAATGTGATAAACCATCAAGAGCAGATGGAAGTCAATCTCCTCCAACTGGAGTAGTAGGACAGAATATCCATAAGATGTGCATATGCATTTTGTTCTTATGTAAAGTGGAGACATCATTAGATGCAGCAGAAAACAACACATTTGTTCATGGAAACTACCACAGATGATGTAAGACAATCTTTTAAATTAGGAGAACACAATGAATACCTCAAAGCAGTAGTTCTGAGAGCATTTTTCTGGGAATATTATCAGCAGCAGTATACTTGATCATCATCAGTATTTTGCTTTGTGTTGTTAGCTAATAACAATGGAGCTACAGGCCCAGTGCCATCATACTCCTGAAATGAACACTTTTTGATCTACTATCATGAGATTTCCAGACTGCCAAATAAGGAACAACATGATGACAGAGTTAAAAACAAAATATTTCCTCAGAAAATTCTACTCTTAATCTAATCTCAGCTGCAGTATAGTTAAGTTCCAGTGTGGGCAAGTTACAGAGAGAGCGTTTTTGTTTTTGTTTCTAACCTGTGACATTGTACTTATTAGGAAAAAAGGAAGAATTAGTTTTCTCCAAAGACTCAGAGTCACTTTTTAAAATGTTTTAGAAGAATAGGAAGTTATTTGGATGGAAAATTGTAAGCAATGAGAATCTTTCTTCCTCTCCACCTCACTTCAATCCACCAACCCAAAGGACTGCTCTAACATAATTTTTTAAAAGTCAAAGGACCTGATGGAAAATCTCACAAAAATAACCATATTTATGATGCTATTGTTCTCTTCTGGGTAGTAAATTGTGAGAATGTTGGGACAGATTACAGGGAGAGATTTCATGAACATGTTGGCTAAGAACACGGCATGGGAAATTTTAGAAACAACATTGCAAAAAGATGGAATTGTGGAGAACAATTGTAATATCTATAGGATTATGGTCTCCCAGTTATTAGTTATAACACATAAAATGCTTGGAAGTCCTGAGTACTCACAACCTAAATCCAAAAATTTCATTGAAAGCTTTATATGATTTTAATTGAATAAGCAAGGTTATTGGTTCATATATACAGTGTGGATAGATGCTTGATTTTTTAAAAAGCACCAAGAAAAATTCCATATTCCAAAACAGCTTTCCATCCCCAATATGCACATGCACCAGAGAATAACTAAACATATGCAATGTTTCTGCAGAAATAGTTTTAAATTCAAAGATACCTTGAAGGTAAACAGTTATTTTTATCTGTCAAGATCTGGTTGGTAAAGTAGAAAACATGAACTGAAATTCAGAGAGGCACATGTGTTAGCAGCAGGCAGTGATAACGCTTAACAGAAGAGGCTTTCAAAGATGCACAAGTTAGCACAGTTCACACAGCTTGTAAGAAAAAGGAGCACAGTGTTGTAGATTTTAAATTTGAATTGTTGTGGGGCCAAGACAGACATTTTTGCGTGAAGGAGTTAAGGTAGATACTGCATGCTTGGACCTGAACAGTAACATGACCTAGCTTCCCAACTCTGTGGGGCATCTGGGCAGGATCCTGCTCTCAGGCCAGGGTGTGAAGGAGAAGTGAGAGGGAAAGACCACAGATCAAAGGGCTGGACTGAGTTAGAATCTCCCACGTGAAAGGAATGAAAAGAGGGAGTCAAACAAAAGTGGTTTTCTATAGCAGAGGCTCACAAAACTTTTTGTGTCTGGATCCCTATGTACTCTTTAAAACTATTTAAACTATTACACTATAAAACTATTAAAACTATATTTAAAACTACTATTTAAAACTATTGGAGGCCTTAAAAGGCTTTTACATATGTGGTGATGTTCACTGATGCTTTCTATAATGAGCATTAAAATTTAGGAAAATTTTAGAATTATTTTTATTTTTTAAATATCTTTATTAATGTCCATTATCAATGGGTATTAACATCTTAATTACTTTCCTCTTTGATGGTAAAAAATACCTGCCACCCATAGCCTCAAAAAAGAGAGGTTTATTTTGGCTTCTGTTTCAGTCCAGCTAGCTCCAAGGCGAGATGGCATGTCAGGGGGTGCAGAGCAGAGGAGAGCTGTTCATGGCACGGCGGACAGGAAGAGTGAGCCTCAGCGAAGAGCTGGGAAGGGAGATTTAACCTTCTGGGTCACATCCAGTGACCTTCCTCTTCTGACCTGGCACCGCATTCTAACAGCAAGTCAGCTGTAATATTTTCTAATATTGAGTTTCAAAGTGGTATTTCATACATGCAGGCAACATTTTGATCATATGCAACATTACACTCCTCTGCCTAGTTAGTTAATATCGATAATTTATTTTAATGAACATTTGTCATGTTTTTAAACATATGTATTGAGAGACTGATACTGATTTACATTTTGCAAGTCTGTTTATTATCTGGATTCATAGGAAATATCTGTTCCTGAATGCAGTCTATCACAGCACATTGTTTTTGTTGAAGACTACAAGAAAATCTAGCAAAACATGCATATATTTGGAAAAGGGAGGGATATTTTAATCACATATTCAAGTAGCTATGTATATTCATCTCTGTGACATTAAAAAATCAAGAAGTTGTTGTTCCTTAAAATTTAATTGCAATATGAAATTGAAAGCAAAAGAATGATTTTATATTTAAACCCATTGGTTTATTTTATACTTAGAATAGAATTTCTACTCACGCCTACTTTTGTAACATTATACAGGAGTCATTATGAAAATATAGGTGCAGTGAGTAATACCTATTTTCTAATGCTGATACATTTCACTATATCACATTCAAAAATCATGTCCTCACATGACCTCTGTTTTCATCAAATATCTATTTATGTATGTGGAAACTGTCAAGCTAATGGTAGCTGATACACATTTTCTAAAACTCCAAATTTTGCTTGGATGCTTGAATTTTATCCCTGACAAAAAATGCAAAATATTATTTTTTTGGAAGTGGCTCACTTTGTTGATTTTAGAGATCATGCCAGCCAAATACCTAATCCAAAAAAACTATAAATTGGCTCTCAGTTGTTCTTTCAGGTAAAAATGTTGTTCCTAAAGGTTTTGGCTACTGGACAAGATAGAGTAGTAAGAAATGGATTTACCCAACTGTCTGAAAAATAAATGAAGTATCAACCAATTTTTAAGACATTTGAAAATGATCCTTGAGAGATGGACAACAACTGAATGCATGTGTAATACCCTTCTAGGTTACCACCTCAGAGAATTTCCAAGCCATGGTACAGAGGGGAAACCAAGGCAGAGCCTCTCAGACTGCTCACATCGAGGAGGTGACATTAAGAATTTGGGCACAACAAAACAACTAGAGTTACTAGAGAGGGGACAAGAAAGAAGAGATCTGTGCTAACAAATCTGGGTGTTTACAGAGCATTCTTCCCAATGATATTCAGCTGCTTACGGATCAGCAAAGTATGTGAGAAAAACACTCAACTCATAGAACAAATCCCAGAAAGAAAAGGTAACTGTGCTGTGCTCCTGTATGTGTCCCTTGGTAAGTATCCAATGATATTTCTTTGAAATTGATCAGTGGCCTCTGCATAAGTTTGCCATTAGTGGTTGCATCAACTTATGCTGCTATCAATGGTTCTGGTTTTTCTATATCCTCTTTAATGTGCATGTTGTCTATTGTATATAGTCTAGTCATTCTGGTGGCTATACAATATTGTCTCCTTTGGTTTTAATTTGCTTTTTTAAATGACCATAGAATTGAGTTACTTTTTATATATTTATTGGCTTTTTCCCCTAATAAACATTGTGGTATAACTATTCATTAAAATAGCTTTGTAATAAAAACCAAGCTCTTGTCATATTGAATTAACAGGGATTTATTTTTCCCCCTCAGAATTATACTCAAACATCCCAACTTAGAGTAGTTCTTTTTCAGAGTTATTTGACTATTTTAGAAGCAGTCCACTGAAAATCTGAAATTCAGAAAGAACTCCATTTAGTAGGTAGCAGTGGAAAAGCTTCCTAGATGGCACTTGCTAAAAATACCTACCAAATCAAGTCTGCTTAAGTGTTAAATAGCCAGTGGGCAATAAGTCTACAGAAAGAGGTAGTATCAAAGCTCACCCCTGGTGGGTTTGTGCAGCAGGCTTACTTATACGTTAGACCAGTGTGCCTTGAGAAGAGATATACTTGAAAAATAGGGGTAGAAGATGATATCATATGATTCTGGTAAATTTTTCTCTCCACAAAATTAGAGCAAGTTGATGACTTTCTGTCAACTTTATATATATATATATATATATAACATTTCTATGTAAATAAAAATATGACTACATTGAAGGGGGCATCTGGTTGTACAAAAAATAGACTGCACATGGCCCAGTGAGAATTAGCTGCCATGGAAGGGTTGGCTAATTACTTTTTTCTTGATTTCTGTCATCCCTGAAATACCTCCACCACCTGAGTGCTCAGCGTGGCTTTGCTCAAACCGCTTGATTTCAACATTTAAAAAACTTGCAGTGGGTGCCTATATATGCCAGCAGCATAATCCCAAGTAACATACATGTAAGTCTGTAAGTCAAAGTAGCCCTGGTAAAAGGGCTAATGCATAGCAGCAGACAGTCAACATCATGTTGTAGGTGAAACACAAAGTCTGAAAAATCTCCCACTTAAAACAAAATATCACAGTGTAAATAGATGTGAAATATTTGAAACACTTCTGTGCCTTTCATTGGTCTGCTACTTACTCTCTCTCCATCTCTCTTCCTGTCTCCTCTCCTCCTTTTTCTGTGTCTCAAATTAAAGAAGGCCACAAAAGTCTTTTATTAAAATAAAACCTCCGGAATAATGTACTGTAATGTCTTTGATAGTTTCTGTTTTTTAGTTAGTAATTCCTAACCCAGAACCCACCTTAATGGCAAGCAAAACCTGCATCATTTGACGCTGTCTTAGGTATCATAAGATTCTTCCTTTGCATATCAAAATTCATACCGAGAAATGGCTTTTGAGTTGCATGAGAGAATTTACTTTTTGTTTCTCTCTATAAGTCTTTGTCTACAAGTTAAACAAAATACAAATAAGTTCTGTCTACTATTCATTTTGATGAGACTCATAGCTTTTCACTGCAATTCTCATACTATACATTTGTAGAAAACATTATGATAACTCATGAGTTAGATATACTGCGCTGCCAAAGCGAGCACAATAACTTATGAGTTAAATAACCCAGGTAATCTTTGGAAGATAAGGGAGGAATACTGCCTAGATTATGTCTCTTCACTAAAAATATAAAAGAAAATATTGCTTGAGTTGCAAATGTTTAGTCTATCTATCATCTTTTTCCATTTTTGTCTGTTTAGATAAGAAAGCAATGATTCAAAGAGAAGGGATCTCAGATACGGTTCATGATGCAGAAGTTGGCTGATGCTCTAGTTATAGATTTGGCTGATTGAGTATCAGGTTATTGTTTTCTATCAAGCAAAAGTAGCAATATTTATGAGTGTTTTTGCTAAACGCTAGGCATCATAAGCTCTACATGCATTAATTCTTTATTACACCTAATGATTATGCGAGTCAAATATCTAAATGATGAGAAAATTGAGGCATAAAAAGTTAACACCCCTGTCCTTTTCCTTTTTTAATACTGTGGCTCTTTTTTATATCACTTTTGCTGATCTATATTTCCAGCCTTGCTCCTCAAAGCAGTTGTTTCCCAAATTGCCTTAACTTTTCCCTACTCTAGTCTCCTTGGTAAACTTGGTAAACTTGATTTATAAATGGCTTTCTATAAGTTTGGATGACACAGAAAGGACTAAATAGTTCAGTAAAGAAAAAGTGAACCCCATAATAGATGAAGGGATACCTCATTAGGGGAACAAATACCTTTTATCATTTTATATAAAAAAGTTTATAAATTTAAAAAAGAAAAGAAAAGAACCAAAAATATTTACTGCGATTAATCATTGCTGTGGAATTGACTGTAAAAGCTATATTTTTTGTATTTATAAATCTATATCTGCCACCTATCTGTATATAGTCTTATGTAAATCTATGTAATTTTATATTTAAGGTAAGGAATTTACAGTTGATGCCAAGTAATAATAAGTATTCAAAAATCAAAGTAAATAATATAAAATTATCTCATCCATTCCAATATTTCATTAACAATAAGAAGTTAGTAACTCTTTAGCTAAGAAACAAATAACTTGATTAGAGAATAAGCAAAGAAATTGTAAAGGTATTTCTCCTAAGCCAACATACAAACGGATAATAGTTATATGGAAAAATGTTCAGCATCACTGAAGCAGGAAAACGCACATAAAACCCTCCATGGGATAGCGTTTCATTCCCACCAGATAGTTTTTATAAAAATGAAAGATAGAAAATATTGCAAATGCAGAAAAGAGAACTCTTATAAATTGTTTGTGGAAACATAAATTAGTATATTTGAAAAACTCTATAGAAGTTCCTAAAAAATGCTAAAAATAAAATCCCATATGATTCAGTAGTTTCACTTCTGAGTATGTATCCAAAGGAATGAAAATCAATATGAAAGAATATCTGCTCCCTCCAGGTCCCTGCAGCATTATTCACTACAGCCAACATCTGGAATCAACCTAAACGTCCACAAACGGACAAGTGGATAAAGAAGAGGCTGTACATATTGTCACTGGAGCACTGATCAGTCTTGTAAGTGGGGAATCCTATCATTTGTAATAACACTGATGAATCTAATCAAATCAAACAAGTTCAGGAAGACAAATACTAAATGATTTCACTGTATGAAATTTTAAAAATTGATCTCAGCAGTTGAAAGCAGAATGATAGTTACTAGAGGCTATGCGGTGAGATGGGACAAAATGAAGAGGTGTTGATCAGGTGGCCTAAAATTTCTGATAGGCGTCAGGAATAGGTTTAGAGTTTTATTGTGCAAGATGGTTGTAATCAGCAATACTATTATGTCAAAGTAACGGAAAGAGTAAATGTCTCAATGACAGGAAAGGGAGGGGATGGATAGGCTGACCAGCTTGATATAATCAGTCCACATTTTGTGTGTGTGTATATAATAAATATCGCATTGAACCTCATATACATACACAATTATGATTAGTCAATCAAAAATAGAACTAGTTAAAAGTGAAAAAGCCCTATCAGTTTAGTGTAAGTCCTTTAAGAATTTTTAAAAACTAGATATGAATTCAAAGTTTGCTTGCAGACCAACGAAAACATACATTCACAGTTAATATTGCATTTCTATTCCACTTCCTTCTTCATTCTAATCCTTTATTATAGTAAATCTAATAGTTATTCCACTGAGTCGATTTTTTTTGTCCATCAAGAGTCATGCATAAAATCAGAGTGGCATGCTACGAACTTGGGTTTTTATATTATGATGATTTGGGAAGTTTATGAAAGAATTCTTATTTATCATGGCAATGTATGTTTGAAGTTTACTGTATTCCACTCAAATAAAATTCACTATCTTTGTTTACTTATCCTTTTAGAAAGCCTTGAGCCATTGATACTTTAAAGCCTTGTGTGTATAAAATCTGTGTTTGAGAAAAATACAGAAAATAGTAAGGAGAAGATGAAATAAAAGAAAAACTAGAGACAGGGCATTAATCACCAGGCTTAAATAGTGACCTGAGAAAAGACAATGGGATTCTTGAACCAGTATAGCAAGGATGAATAGGAAAGGACAGAATGGAAAGACATTAAGGTTAGGAATCAAGAAAATTTAATGGCTAATTAGATGTGCAGAGTCGGGACGTAGGACAAATTTTTAAAAAATGAAGATCAAAGAAGATAAATACACCAAGCTTCCCAGCTATGAACCTGCATGAAAGAATCATTAAGTGAGCAACATATCTCTTGGTTTTCTAATTTTTTCCCTCCACCAACTATTTATTGAATATATTCTTTATGCTAGCCAATTTTCTAGGCTGGAACCACAGAGTGAATAACGCTTAGCTCCTGTTGTCCCCAAACTATACATGTTTTGAGGAGACATTCAATATACAAATAAATACAGACTATATAACATCAGTCAGGGAAGACTATAGAGGATTAACTACTTCTTTGAGTTGTAATCTTCTCACCAAGAATACCTGCAAAAGTGAATAAAGCAAAACATAGAAGGACTATTATTTGAAGGCATCAGAGAACATGCAGGGTAACTAAGGCTTCATGACAAAGACTGCAGAGGAAAAGGATAACACACTATAAAAGCCGACACATTGTACAAAATTACCCCCTTGAATTATCCTTGTGGAGCACTGTGAACTTAAAGGTTATGTGGGGGGGGCAATTTTCCAAGAAACCAAGTAGACGTGTTAGGCTGAAAAGCTGTGGGAAGATTTGGTGATTCCACCAAAGAGATGACACTCTGATGAACAATTCAGGAGTAAGCCATATGAATAAAAGTGAATGAAAAACAAATGACCCTAAACTGTATCAAGATGATTCATTAACATTAAGTACTTATTGAAAGAAAATAGCACCACACAATGAGTGGCTCTACAACTTTTAATATATGGTGTCTGCCCTTAGAAATAAATTATACAGTATACTGCAAAAATGACCAAACTGAAAAGAGGAAAAAGACAGTAGAAATGTATCATATTTTCTCTATTACTTTTGCTGCTAACAAATTATACTAGAACTTGGTAAGATGCATACTTGTGCTAGTGAGGGTCAACAATTTAGAAAGATGTTCAACATGCAGTTTTCTTTTGGGATTTTTCACATACAATATTTTTAGATGTTCTATAGGGTTGCAGTCATCTAAAGAAGTTACTTAGTTGTACCTCTAAGCTAGCTCATTTGCATGACTAGCTGTCAATGCCAACTCTTGATTGAAAGATGAGCTTAGGCTGTTAACTGGTGGTATAAGCATGGCTTCTATAGCATAGTGCTGTCAATGTAGCTAGATTCTTGTATAGCAACTGGTTCCTGCTAATGTTATCATCCTAAATGTTCAGGCAGAAGGTGTAAGATCATTAATAATGACCATGAAAGTTACATAGTATCACCTCCTTTTTAACAAAAGTAAACATGATCCAGAGCAAATTTAAGTAATGAGGATATATATTCTACATGTGAATGCTGATATGTCAACTAGAGTGGATTAAGAAAACACTTTTGGGTGTGTATGGGTAGGTTAAAGAAGCATGACTTGGGAACTGGCCTTTCTTTGGTACTGTTCTGTGGCTCTGCTTCCCATCTGCTATGAACTAAGTATTTTTACCCTGCCACACACTTCTGTCATGATGTCTGTGCTACAGATTCAGCAAACCATGGACTGAATCCTCTGAGACAAGGAGCCAAATCAAACCTCTCCTCCTTTAAGTTGGACATTGTGTCTCAGCAACTAGAAAACCAATAAATAGATCCTGCCTCTCAACAGAGTGTCAAAGAATGTATAGTCACTTTTAAATTACTACTTTGAAATATCAAGTGCAAACTTTAAAATCTATAATTGGAATGCAATCAGTGAACATACTGGAAGAAGGAATTTTGAAAGTTCGCTCTTCCATAAAAAGAAGGGCAATGGCCTAAATTGTAAGAATCAACTTTTTCAGAACTCTGGAGGTCAACCGGAGGTTTACAGGGTTTAGAAGTGAAAGAGAAATAGCTAGATTTTATTAGGCTCAGTTGGCTCTGTGGCATTTTCATTTATCCTAATCCTATAACTATCCTTTCTCTGGTCAGTGATAATCTAGTTTATTGGAAATAACAGCCTGGATTCTTTATTCTGGAGTGAGCAGAACAGACCTTAATCACAAACAAATGTAAATTTTTACTTTGATCTTTCTGGTGGCTCCCTGAAGGACCAACCCAGATGTCCTTATTTCACCTGCCTGAAACTAGCCAGGTTTAAAGCTGCTACTTGGGGTTACTGGTCGAAAGCCAGTTACAAGCATATGTTTTGTTGCTGCTATCTGAGGTATTAATTATGAGCTGAGGACCACAATAGACTAACCACAAAATTGCGAGGAAAGGCTTATAAGCTATGCATAGGATTTTGAAGTTTCTTGACATATGATTCATAATCTAAAAGGACTCACACACGTAAGAGAGCAAGTA